GCCTAAAAATTGGGAACAAAGAATATTTCCGTGGATTACTTTTCTGGGAAACTATAAGTGATCCTTCTGCAACATCACTGGAGATTGCTTGCAATGGGAGTGACGGTTTGAGTTTGAGAAGATGTGCAGGAAACTTTCTCATATTTTCAATGGCCAAGACATGTCACAGTCCACCACGATATTCGTAAAGCATAGATGTCAATTTGATCGTTAGGGTTGATTTATTAGGTTATTATCTGAGGGCAAGAGAAATGACCGTGAAAATGGCGAAGGTTGAAAGCGGCAGCAACTGCTATCGGGAGGTGTCGCCATCAGTCCCACTGATAACTCCAGTGACACGCGTATTTTTCGGGAGCATTTCCTTGAAAACTACTTATGCTTAACAGCTCAGACTTTGAACAGTGAAATCATAAATAGCGAATCAGACTTTGGGCTGACTCCATTTGCAGCAGCTGATTTCATGGAACGCTTTGACACCTTCACCGGAAATTTTTGACGTAAGCATCGTTTCCTAACTTACAGAGGCCTTCACCAAGAAAAACATAAGGCAGTGGAAAGGTTTTTTTGGAGTGGTAGCACTTTTTTGGAGTGGTTTTAGCAGAGCTTTTATGCTTCAAAGTTAGACGCTCAAGACGGGGTATACTTTCTGACCAACCTACTAAATAGAATTGCTCATGGGCTTTGTCGTGCCGGGCTAACATTGTCATGTCGAAGTTTCACATGTAACTGAGATCCTTATGAATCCTTATGTCACCTGCACAACGTGTTCGATGCTAGTCTCTCATGTAAAATTCAAGACCATGTGGTCTCCGGCAAGGAGCAAGGTCAGGTCCGAATGGCCTCTGGGTTCGAGTGACAACGAGAAGTGAGAGATCAGAATAATCAGGCATTACGGATTTATAAGTGAGAACCTGAACTTTCCACACGATAAGTGGATTCTTATCTTGCGGCACGCACGAGTTTTGCTGGTACAAAGTATCCTACTGTATGTGTTGTCGCCAGACAGCAGTAGCGCCCTTCTGAAAAAGCAATGTATGTTCAAGATAAGATATTTTTCAAAAAGATTTGCTGCAGGACGTATTATTCGTCTTCCTGTCAGCATATGATTTTTTTTCTAATTACTCTTGCCCTCCTGAGACCCTTGAAAGTATGGTTTTTTTAAGCAGATTCGCATAAATCCGACAAACATCTATTTCGGGGTTGCACTCGATGAAGGGAAGATTTCTGGCTACTTTCTGCTTTGTAGGAGTGTCGCTCTTACAATCTTTATAGATCCCGGAGGTGTAGCGAGTGCGAATATCAGAAATCAACTGGAAGTTGGAGGTCCAATGTGGATTCTCGCAGATGTGTACTGTTGTACGGGAAAAAATGCAAAATACCACGGTGAATGGCGCTTGAATACGTCATTTATAAGATTTATAACAATAATAGTATAGCAGAAATAAATGATAACAATAATTGCGACAGCAAGGACGAGACCCTAACGAGTTGAAAACATATTTTATAGCGAGTAGTCACCAATCTGTTACTGTTCTATTACTCTGAAAAGCCATTACCGTAAGGAGAGGACTACCATGCAGCGAACGACACAGAAACAAAGGCATTCCCGGTTGGCTACCTGAACCTTCTGCAGAAACTTACTATGGAGGTCTTTCAGGGTAAGGAGGGCTTTTGCGATACGATTGCTAGCAGGCATAGGGGCTCATGTGCAAATCTGAGATCAATTTTCGCCAAGCGGCTCCTAAGACCAGAAAAGGGTCGAAAATATGTTCGAAATGGGTGTTTTTCACTGGGTTTCGGTAAAAATGTATCTGTAAGGGTAACTGATGATCCTGGAAATGATGGTGACAGCTGCTGTCGCCGGTGGTGATATTGGAGCAAATCTGGAAGCTCCAACCTAAAATATAAAAATTTTGTCATCACGGGGATTAGAACCTTGGATCCATTTCTTCACCCATTTTCTGTTCTTCGAGGGGCCTTTCAACGGTAGACTTTGGTTTTGTAGTCAACTCACGAGTTCCTATAAGATGCAGAAAACCGTTGAGTGGAGACTGGAAGGTAATTCATTCATGTAAACGTTAAGAGTCAATTTTCAAGATTTTTTTGTGCAGCATTTCGGAGGCTTTGTGCGAAGTGCTGCACAAAACGTTCTTGAAGGTTGTGATTCATGATGTTTACATAAATGAATTTTCTTCCAGCCTCCACTCAAAAATCCAACAACAAGTGACAAAAGTAACTGCGTGGGCGGAAGTGGTGTAGTGGCAAGTGGCACGCTTACCACGCGAGCGGTCCGGGGATCAAATCCTGGGTCGCCGGGCCAACCAAGCCTTCCATCCCTCCGGGGTCGGTTAATTGGTACCAGACTTGTCTGGGAGGATAAAAACACTGACTTGTACATCGGCTGGCCCCCGCAAGTCATTGTATAGGCCACATCGCATTCAAACGCCACTACGAATGTACAAATGGAAGTAGAATGCGTGCCGCATCCCAAAAAGGGATTGATCAACGGCAAATGCTTTATCCTTTATTTTTTGTCTTTTTGTGCAGCGCTTTCGTATCCAGCACTCAAATGGACACGAGTTCAAAGCATATGTCGACTGACGACGCTACTTGCTGTACTCGCCGCGCAGAGCCTTCCCAAAGGCCGGTAACAGATTTCGAGAATCCAGTGAATCGCTGGCGAATCGAGAGTTGCAAGCGACTCACCAGCGGCTCTACGGTGTGGGTAAGTGATGAGAGTTCTCTCATGCGCACGGTGACTATCGCCTCTTCCCCATGCTCTCATGCCTTCGCAGGCTCGTGAAAATAGCGATAGTCTACGTGCACATAAGAGGAATCTTTTCTCACATTTTCGGGCCTCTGGTCATTGTTCGGTTCGTTGTTGTGGCGCTCGTACCCTTCAATTCGCTTGCGATTCACTGGATTCACAGACTCTGACACTGGGCTAAAGCTGATGTCAGACCTTGCGAATCGTGCTATTTGCTACTAACGATTCAACAGCGTCGGCCAGTCGCGTTGCGTTACCAGCGAACCAAGCGACTCCATCGATTCGCAGTCTGATATCGGCCTAACCTAATCAACATCCGAGGACAAGATCGACGATTCAACGTGGGCACTCGTTTTCTGCGTTCGGTATTGCTCGATCACTATCAGTAAGCATGCCGAGTAACGCATCGGATCTCGTGTGAAAAATAACTTAGGGAAAAACATTTATATAAGTATGCCAGGGATACACGACACAATTCACAAATACTTTAACACTCTCTTGTACACAATCGCGTCGAGTTTATGATATTTGTCCGAATATGTATTGTAACCATTCTCAAAGTATTTTTGCTACTAATTACTTCTTCAAACTTTCCTGATATGCAGTTTGTATGTCTCTCATTCTTGTCCGGGCATCCTAAACATTCTTCATGTGATTTAATGATAAGAAGCGGTCCCGCATTTCATAAATTCGGCTCATTTTTTGGGAGGAAGCGAGACTTATAAGGACAGGCGCACATTGCACGAGAGCTTTACGAAGCCTGAGCAATTACACTCACGGAAGTTTGTAAGTGAGAGCGTGAGAAACGGTATTATTAAACCGCTTTACAGCTGATGAGCCTTTTGTTTAAAGAAGCGTCACGCGTTTGACTTTCCATTTTCTCAGTGTTACGGCATTACAGGATGGTAGCGGGAACGGTAGATGTTTAGACTGATTTTTTATATCTATGGATAAGACCCCATGATGGTTGCTCTTTCGATAAGATGCTATCCCTTCCACTTCGTACGACAGCTCATACGTAATCGTCGAGATTACTCACTTTAGTGCTCAACGCTCATCTTCCTACCGCCAAGGTGACGGTAAATACAGCTATCATTTACCAAACCTATTCGAAAACCATCCTGGTGAAGCCACCTAGCTAAGCCAGATTTACTGAGCCGTCGTCGGCTTTGTGTTGTGTGATCTGCATCACGCGCATCTCTTTTACGAAGACGTGAATATGCGAAGATTCAATTCCTTAAGCAACTCATGTGCGTTCACGAACTCGACACTTCCTCAGCTATCCAGTTAGTTGCTAGCCCAGGTACGCATGGCGTCATTCGAAAATGTCCTTTTTCCCGTCCACCTTCTCAATGCTACGCGTGCATACATACACAACCTGCAACATTGGCGATCCCTTCCCAACCCTCGCCTTCCAAAAGCGAATGTCAATTCTCAACAAACTCCACCTACGCCACAAATACAACCTCACTCTTCGCTAAATCCTGGATGTGGGTGGCCGATTTTGCTTCCCTGCAAAGGCCCCCACCAACGTCAATGAATGGTGGGAGAGAGGGACCTTTTAGCTTTGAGAATTACAGGCTTTTGAAATGTTACTCTGACTCCATACACACTGATGGTTTTTGATACACAGTGAAGCAACTAACTGAAGGGGTTTCTTTACCTCTAACGCAGTCCAACCACCAAGTGATGCAAGTCGAAAAGCCAGAGCAAGTAGAACACAGAAATAGACTTTCTTATGAAAAGCACCTGGTCGAGCTCTGCAATTCCACTAATATTCAATAGAAATGCAATTCGGCGTTGTCGCAAAATACGGGGGCATCCTCTAAGACTAAGCTGGGAGAGGGCATGAAATTTAGGGAAAAAAATTGCCCATGCACCCTGGACTACCCCCTTCCCGGCTGAGGCATGTCCCGTTTTCAACAAAAGAGGATGTTTTACGTGGTTCTAAAGCGTTGCCCTTTCTATGCCCCCGTATCTTGCCACAACGTCTGCAATTCTTTAGAGTTAGTAAGAGCACCGGCGGTAGAAACAAGACTCCAGACAAAAAGGAAAAATAGACGACAGCATGCCTTGCACATTTCTTCGCAAGGTCTTCGACATCAAAACACTCCTTTTTCTCTATATCCTTCATAAGAATCGTCGCCACCCACACGACAGGACCTCTGAAATATTCAAGAAGTTTTAGCAACATCTTAGAATGGGCTTCAAAAAAGTCCATTGGAGGATTTCATTGAATTGTACCTTCCAAGACCATCATGACTTTGAATGACAACTGGAGGAATGTAGTTGTCTAAAGATTTCCGCATCACCTTAAAAGATGTGTTTTTAGCTGTGGATCCGAACAGGCTATGCATAGAGCTTACTAACCTGAACTTCTCGTTTTGACAAAGTATGAACAAAAGGCCCAAGAAGATCGAGATCCGGCCAGGTGTCTGGTGGCCATGCGTCGAAGTGCATGAATGTCACCTGCAATCATGCTAATCTTCCAAAAGCTCCTTTTTTATGTCCACATAGGATGCAACCGGCTACTTTCGCTTTGCAGGTGGGTAGCAGCATGGTGGATCCTTGCCAGGACTATTTCCAGCCGAGTAGTGGAGCTTTTGCAAAGGGTGAACAAACCAGCTAGCAATCCGAATTGAGAGGGAAATCTTCAGAATTGTTCATCCGAGACAAAGTAGTTCAGTGGCAAGTGACGCAGCTATTGCCAGCATGTCAGACTCCCATCCGATTATTGCCATGGAACCCTCTTTTCGGAAAGTCTTATGCCAGGCCTACCTTGAAGAAGGGAACAAAATATCAACTTGAACAAGTTGGCCCTTGATAGTCTCACCGATCTTATGCGGTTTCAGATGTTGCCGTTATTCCGAAAGAGCATGGCTTACCCAGGATTACATCGATCAACGCCACTCGTATTTTTCTATTTCCGTGGCGAAAGTGAATGTGTTGGACTGGAATGAAACTGACAGCTGAATGACTCACAATTCGCCACTTTTTCTCTTCATCTTCTTCTTGTGGATCTGCCGCCTTCTGTTTCGAATCCGACTGAAAGAGCAGAACATAGCAGGAATTGGAATGCGATTCTTGGAAATTCATTGAATTTCGCGAGAATACTTTCGGAACGATGAATCAGAACTTCAACGACAAGCTACGTGCAGAGCTGGTGAAGAGAAACTGAACCCGCAGCACGCTTCGTTAAAGAGTTCGCATTTGCAACAACCTTATGATGACAACGCACGCTTTCTGATTCCTTTACCGTAGAACAAGCATGGTCTTTCGGGATGCAGCGGCAGAACAAGCAACAACACTAAAGCACCTCAGAAATTGCCTCAGTCTTACAGTATATGGGTGCTATGTAGTCGTGTTATATGGCCCAGCGTATGATAAACGAAATATAAGGGGGGGTGACAAAACTAGCGCACAAGGCACATGGCGCACACATCCAAAACGTTTCATCGCATGCCGGTTGCTCAGTCTAGGATTTAGTGACATAATAATCGCTTAATGTCTGGCAGGAGCGAAACAGTTCCTGTTATTACGTGCTCTCAAAGGCACGCTCCGAGATTAAGCACGCCCACCTGTTCCATACCTTAGCGTAGTAGACAGGCGGACAAACGTTGATGTCGCGCTCCTTTTGCGGCATGAAATTCCGCAATAAAGGCGCTAAGCTCAGCGACCCGCCAATCCACTTGGTCCCTCCGTTATGTTAGGAGCTTTATCTCCTTTGCGGACGAAGTCCTCCCAGTTTTTCCAAGGGAGCAGGGGCTCTGATTACGTGTGACAACATGCTTTCACTTCACACCACGCAGCTCGTAGGTTCGGGTACCCGACAGAAGGCCGCGCGCGGCAAATAGCAGTGCAGCGGACGAGTGGCACGGCGTATTATTGTCCGTCAGTAGCAATTTACGCCCATTTCATGCTGCATATCACACCTGCCGGACTCGGGTTTTTGCCGCTAACGCAGCCTTCTTGCGCGCGACGGGCTTCCTGTCGGTTACACATGATTTTACCCTCGAGGGTTAGGCAGGCATGTCATTAAGCCGACCCCGACCCTCCCCCTCCTCAATATATGAGCGCTCAATATTACAGATGCCTAAGTAATATGATCCGTGACCACGCGTATCAAGGAATGCTGCTCAACTGTCGTGACCAAAGACTGCCAGTGGAAAGGTATTCCCACCCAACTCTGGGAGCTCATATAATCATCTCGACGAAGTTTGAGGTAGGTAAATATGAACTCCACTCTATTGTCTTCGAATTTTAATTAAAGGAAGTCGATTACGATAAGGAATTTTCGCATCGGGGGAGAACCTGCGCCACACGGAGCAATTACTTGGCTGCCAAGGAAGCGATGTGTGGTCCTCCCACGGCGAAAGGTGCTGTGGTTGCTGAGCAGGACCCGTGACGCCCCCCCCCAGTGACGTGACGCCCACTAGTTTTGTTGATGATCTGGATGGACTGTTTGCTGTTGGCTTTTCATTTTGGATGATCATTTCCCTTCTAGCGGCTGTATCTTCCAACTTGCCCACGTATTGCCTTATCAATCAAAACACTATGCTTGTTGGCATGATGGCGGCTATCGGGGTTAACACGTCCGAACAACGTCGTTCTTTACCGTCGCTCATCCATGGTCGAAAATGAAAGGGCAATCAAAGGGGTACTATTTTGCTTATTTTTGACGGATTTCTTTGCTTTTTTTGTGGCGTACTACTGAGACCCTCACGTCCCCTCTATACCCCTATGAGATCTATCGTAATCGCTGCCTTCAAGTTTCAAGCAGATTTTAATTTTCAGAAAGAGAAAGTATTTTTAAACTCACAACTTTTTGCTTGCGCGTGATTTGGCACAAAAAAGAGCGTTCTGACCTGGCCTTTTGCCGCTATGGCATCCACGGATGGATCTGTGCTTGCTATTCGTAAGTCATATATCACGAATCCTTTCATTTCCGTTCGTTTTTTGCATTCGATCACAAAACGATTTCCTTCAATCTCCATTTTCTCTCCTTCTTTTGACGGCCAATAGGGATAGCACATGCTCCCGTCGGACGCACTGAGCTTTTCGCTTAGCGACACGCAGATTTTACAGCCGTCCTGAAAGCAACGGAAAGCTCTACACCTATTTTAACTCTGCTATTGGAAATTCGTTCGCAACGTTGTTTGCAACATTCCTCTGCAGAATAATCCTAAGAGATTACTAGAAGGTCTCTGCAAAATCTCTCTATCATTACAGTTCTCTTTGATGGCGCATGAAAAGTCTTATTTATCGACCTTTGAAGAGACTCTTTGCCTCATTCTCCGAGCCAAGTCCACCGTGAGTATCGCGATCTAGCAAATACTGCTTCGGATAATATCAGGTTTTATCATCTTATTCCATTCTATTGATTGCGTGCTATACTCATTGCACTTCGAATTGAAAGCTGTGGTCGCAGTCTGGTTCAACCTGGGATCCCTCCCACGGTCGCACACTGCATATCTCACAAAGGCATCCCGTTCCACTTGTGAGATGCTCAAAGTCATAAACCAAAGATGAGCTCAATTGTATGAATCCCTACCGTTTGTGGACTAAAGCTGTTAATGGAGGTCGAAGATGACCCAGTCCTCTCGCTCTAAAAAACCCAACGAACGCGTTAGAGCCTCGCAGAATCGCTTCGAGGGTTCCCATTGTTTCTCGGCCGCTACATGCTGGAGTATGCATTCTCTCAACCGTTGTGCTTTCTCACCTATCCTCTCCTCCCTGGATGGTCTCACATCGCCTTAGCACAAAGGGAGGAGCAGCCCCAAACTCAGTGCTTTCCACTGAATCTTTTCCGTATTGCTCTTTACCGACAGGGCGACACCATCTCGCCCAAACTCTTCAGCGCCGCTCTCGAGAACGTCATGGAAGACATGGGAGTGAAGGTCGACGGCCGGCAACTACACCACCTTCGTTTTGCTGACGACATCGTTCTTATAACGCCGAACATCGAGCAAGCGGAGCGAATGCTGGCTGATTTCGACTGCGCCTGTGGTAAGGTTGGTCTACAGCTGAACCTAACGAAGACGATGTTTATGAGAAACGGATGGTTCCTGATGCCCCATTCACGCTCAACGGAACGAACATCACCGAATGCTCCAGCTACGTGTACCTAGGTCGGGAAATCAATATGATGAACGATCTAGCTCCAGAGCTGAGCAGGAGGAAACGAGCGGCTTGGGGAGCGTATAAGAACATCGAGGGAGTAGTGAAGAAGACGAAGAACATCCGGCTCCGTGCCCACCTCTTCGATTCCGCTCCTTCCTGCCCTAACCTACGCCTCAGAGACTTGGACTCTGCGCAGGCAGGACGAGCATGCGGTCAGCGTTATCCAACGCGCTGTCGAGAGGACGATGCTAGGAGTAACCCTATACACGCAAGTGCAGAGGGGAATCCGGAGTTCCGAACTACGCCAACGATCGAAGATCAGGGACGCTGCCGTTTTCGCCAAGGAATCGAAGATAAGGTGGGCCGGACACGTCATGCGATTTTGCGATGACCGTTGGACCAGAGCGGTTACCGACTGGATCCCTCGGGACGTCAAACGAACACCTGGACGACCGCCGGCCCGATGGTCAGACTTCTTCACGAAAGCTCTGAACGAAAGGAATGAAGGACATCGTGTCCCTCGAGCGAGGAGGGTCCACTGGACAACTCTTGCACGCGACAGGGACGAATGGAGACGTTGCTGGCGCCCGCTCGAGCAATTCGATGATCAACGGGACGACAGGTGATACAGGTGATACTTCTTTACTCTTTACTGTCGAAGTTTCCACTTGTCTCCAATGCTGTGGTTTGTGTACAAAAGAATCACGTCAATTACGGTGCCAACTCTGGAGACGATTAATTCTGTTTCAAAGCCCGGTAATTAGTGATGCTAATTCATTCTCTACGACTCATGCCAAGATTCGTTGAGAGTCGCACATGGAAGACGCTAATTCACTTTATCAGTTGAATTCATATCATGTGTGGTACGCTCTGATCATAACAGCCATCCTATAAGGCTGAGTCATAAGTAATTGACGATGACTACTCAACCTTTGACGTCAAGAATCATCTGTTTATAGGTGGTCGCCATCATCGTGGTAAGCGGGCTAGAGTTCCAGGTCTCGCACCAATCGCGTCAATTCCCTATTCATCCTCACCATCGACTACGCTCTTTCAATGAAATCATCATGCTGGGAGTGATAATGATTGTGCACGTGGCATACAAGCACAAGAAAACGCTAACAATGCATGAGTTCGTGCTTGCGTACGAGTGGTCTCGATGCTCGTTGCTTCAGAGTTGGGTATCCATATGCATAGATTTGTTCCGTGTCAATATTCCAATCGCTTCTACTTAACGGCTGTCCTCAGGTTTCCTTTCGTAAGGTTCTTTGCTCCATCTTGCATTCTTCTTCCACCACTATAGTTACTTCATCAAAGTTCCTCCTTTCTGGGCACAACTTTTAGGTTTCGCGGGGGGGGGGGTAAACTGCTCCACGTCTATGTTCGAACGTTCTGACAACAAACGATGCCCATGGTCGTTCACAAATTCGACAAGGAAGTAGGTGCGTGGCGCATCCATAATGTAATTGTAGGAATGGTTGAATACTCGAGAAATAATATTGCAATATTTAAACCAGTTTTGCTCCGCCCGCTATCGCGCGCATCACACGGCAGGCTTTAGTGAAACTGAAAGACCCATGGAATATCAGCATGAGGTCTCCATTAGCCACCTCACTATTGAATGTGTTAGACCTTTCCCAGTTCGCTGAAGTCCATCGAGAATACGCGTGATAACGTCTGGAGCTGAACTGGCATAATTATCTCACAACTGTAAACATCCAGCATTCTTCTTGAATTCAGATAATTTAGCGGTGAATAGGATTGCTGTCAGTCTCAAAATTAAAATGAAATATGCCTATTTACATAAGTGAAGAGCTAAGGCTTATCATTTATTTACATTCACCATTATTTAGAACCCCGAAAGGATTAGCGGTTTAATGAGTTTGGGCTTTCTTGATAGAAATGAAAGTTATCATTTGCTGAAGACTTGATTGAGTTTATGCAATAGACTGCTATTAAGTAAGCTGGTCATACAATGATACAGTGTGCACGTACCACTACAAATAGAATTTGTAAGTAGGGACGCTCTAGTGTCAGCGCAAGCTGGTAACGGAATCGACGACTTTTGCGTTCTGACGCCCCTTATCAGCCCTTATCAGTTGTAACCACTTTCCATCACCTACCAACAATGTCCCCGTCCCACCCCACATGACACCTGCGAGTATGGACGCTCTAGTGTCAACGCAAGCTGCGTAACGGAATCGACGACTTTTGCGTTCTGACGCCCCTTATCAGCCCTTATCAGTTGTAACCACTTTCCATCACCTACCAACAATGTCCCCGTCCCACCCCACATGACACCTGCGAGTATGGACGCTCTAGTGTCAACGCAAGCTGGGTAACGGAATCGACGACTTTTGCGTTCTGACGCCCCTTATCAGCCCTTATCAGTTGTAACCACTTTCCATCACCTACCAACAATGTCCCCGTCCCACCCCACATGACACCTGCGAGTATGGACGCTCTAGTGTCAACGCAGCTGGTAACGGAATCGACGACTTTTGCGTTCTGACGCCCCTTATCAGCCCTTATCAGTTGTAACCACTTTCCATCACCTACCAACAATGTCCCCGTCCCACCCCACATGACACCTGCGAGTATGGACGCTCTAGTGTCAACGCAAGCTGCGTAACGGAATCGACGACTTTTGCGTTCTGACGCCCCTTATCAGCCCTTATCAGTTGTAACCACTTTCCATCACCTACCAACAATGTCCCCGTCCCACCCCACATGACACCTGCGAGTATGGACGCTCTAGTGTCAACGCAAGCTGGGTAACGGAATCGACGACTTTTGCGTTCTGACGCCCCTTATCAGCCCTTATCAGTTGCTATCGCTTCCATTCATGTACCACCATTGTCCCGGGACCACCCATAACACTTGTAAGTATAGACGCTCTAGTACCAATATGAACGACAAAACGAAATTGGCGATGCTCGCTTTCTAGCCCCTCTTATCAGCTATTATCAGTCGTTATCAGTTCCTATCACGTACCACTTGAGTCCCCATCCCACCCCCTATAACATATGTAAGAACCATGGCGCTATCGTTGCTGTGACCCGAGCTACGAATTTCGTGACAAACACACACACACACATACTTAGCGAATTATATATATAGTAGGACCAGCAAGAACGGCGCACAAAGATCAGAAACTTTTCCAGCCAACTTTTTCTTTTTAACGCGACCTGGGGCTAATCCGCACAGCGCAGGCTCGCAGCTTGTCTACTGTAACAATGGTAGCAAGTAGTTCAAGTAACATTACCCTCCAAACCATTCGCCAATAATCTCGATAGTTTTCCTTCGTCGGTGCCTCTGTGATGATATAGTCATCACGTTCACAGCATGCGTACGTGGCTGGGAAGTAGTCGCTGTCGCCGTCTTTTGCCTGAATATAATCATTTTTCGAGTTTTTAGCACTGAAATAAAAATGGTTTATATTTAAAGCAGCCTTTTTTTCACTTTCCCATCCCATGCATTGTGTTTGTATGGCTTCGCACTCCAAAACTTTACAGCCCTTATATTTTCAATTGGACCAAGTCCTATACCACCCATCAAAGGTTAACCGTACTTCAATAATTTATCACCATGAAGATCGTACTCGAAATTCCCAAAGGGTGTCGTATTTCTGGGTTTTGTTTGGTGGTATTATAGGAAGGAGACCGTAGTTCAGCTTTAGAGGGGGTTGTGGTGACCGAAGTTGAGGGGTCATGGTGTAGCAGAGGTATAGAAGGCATTTTGACATATTCCAAAAATTTTGGCAAATTCCCACGAAGAAAGTAGCCCTTCCTTCCGCTTAAAGGCAGTTCTGGAGTGAGCAAATGTGCAAGTAGTTTTTGTGAATGACCTCCTTTACGTGAGCTGGTAGGGTCCTTTGGTCTGATTCCAGGAATTTCACAACCCTCTTTCCCGGAGGACCCCTACCACCCCATTAGCCTTAGGAGGGTTCCCTCACACTATCCTCTTCCCCACCCCGACCACCACTCTCACCATCGTGACTCCTACAATATACTCTCTCCAAATCGGCCGTCAAGGTGGAAAGGGGAAAGGTCTTGGAAGGGAGGAGGAAGCCAAATATGTCTCATGAGCCGGCATGTCCTCCAATTTTGCCCATTCCACACTTTTTCCGTGAAATTTTCGCCATCGTCCCCCTTTACACACAACCACGACCCCTTCAGGCGCGGTTTGATGACCTCACCGGAGCCCATTGGTGGACCGAACCTCTCGCGCTGAGATAAGGTTGAGACTGCCTCTACGCTTTTTCAACAATGAAGGTCAATGACTCACCCAACTCCAACCCTCTCCAGTCGTTGTTATCGCCGCCTTTAACATCACCCGGTTGACTCTCTACGTCAGCGATATTGGGGGACATTCAAAACAGAGCCGATGGTAGGTGACACTGGGGCAAGCCCAAGAGATTGGATAAACGCTAGGTTGCATCTGCTTACATCTTCTCCCAGAGACCCTTCCACTTCCTGAGGCTTAGTCACAAGTGATGTAAGTGGCTCACTCAGTTCAATGTCCCCCTCCCCCCCCCAATAACATGAGGGCCAACTCTTCTACTCCCGCATCAACAGGTGATCCGCTTCCGGAGTTTCCGAACGTTCTCTCTTGTTTCTTTTTACACTTGGCACCTCTACTTCCACATCTCAATAGTATCAGCTTATCCCAAGCGCTGATTCCAAAGGAAATGAAAACTGAGGGTGAGGGGTCGGCTAGTTCTCTAGCATGCTAGGGTGAGTGGTATGACCATCCAACCCCCTTCAACCAGCAATGTCTCCTTCCTGAGAAAGAAACGTTCTGAACACGACAAGAGGCACTTCGAGGCCGTCTCGTTGCTGTTTCTAGATGGACTGGCCCGAATGGAAGTAAGGTCAGTGCGCAGCGTTTGACGAATAAGGCAACCTAAACACAGAATTCTGGTCCTCAACAACCCACAGTGAAGGGGGCAGGCAGAGGAACGACGCCAGCGGTTTTGAAATGTTCTGAGAACCGTCAGAAGTGCGCCACCCTTAACACTAACCATTTTCACGAGTTTCCATCAAAAAAGCATCAGACTGGAATGAGCGCGTCGCTAGAATGACCACAGTTGGGCGCTTCTACCACTGACTTCA